CTATATGCATCAACCTGAGGGATACAAGGTTGAGGAAAAGGAGAATCATGTATGTCGCTTGAGAAAGTCACTTTACGGATTGAAGCAATCTCCGCGACAGTGGTACAAGCAATTTGACTCCTTCATGCTGAAGCATGGGTTTTTCCGAAGCGACTATGATTGTTGTGTTTATATTCGGAAGCTTCGTGGAGGTGATTATATTTATCTCCTTTTGTATGTGGATGACATGCTTATTGCATCAAAGAACAAGGTGGAGATAGATAAGCTGAAATCTCAACTTAGCAAAGAGTTCGAGATGAAGGACATGGGCGCTGCAAAGAAAATACTGGATATGGAGATTAGAAGAGAGCGGGCGAATCGACGATTGTTCTTGAGTCAAAAGGGCTACATAGAGAGGGTGATCGCGAGGTTCGGGATGCAAAGTGCAAAGTCGGTGGTGACCTCATTGGCTCCACACTTTAGGCTTTCAAGTAAACAATTTCCCACTACAGCGGAAGATAAGACACACATGGATCGTGTTCCTTATGCTAGTGCAGTTGGCAGCTTAATGTACGCAATGGTGTGTACACGCCCTGATATTTCACAGGCGGTTAGTGTGGTCAGCAGATTCATGGCGAATCCGGGAAAGGCGCACTGGGAAGCGGTGAAATGGGTCCTGAGGTACTTGAAAGGTACCGTGGATACGGGTCTGTATTTTGGTGGAGATATATGTCAGATCGACGGGTATGTGGACTCAGATTATGCAGGCGATCTAGATAGACGGCGATCTACTACTGGTTATGTATTCAGGATACATGGAGCTCCAGTTAGTTGGCGATTAATGTTGCAGGCTACAGTGGCACTTTCTACAACAGAGACCGAGTATATGGCCATGGCGAAGGGAGTGAAGGAAGCATTGTGGCTGTGGGGTCTTCTAGACGATTTGGGGATTGAGCAGGAGAGCGTGAATTTGTGGTGCGACAGTCAAAGTGCAATTCACTTGGCAAAGAATCAAGTTCACCATGCTCGTACCAAGCATATCGACGTCAGATATCATTTTGTGCGGGATGTCATAGAGGATGATGATATTTCTCTCATGAAGGTACATACGAATGAGAATCCCGCGGACATGTTAACCAAAGTGGTCACTGGTAGTAAGTTTAAGCATTGCTTGGACTTGCTTAATATCAGTCCGTGTTGATCTGCCCAAGAGGGCATGGCCCTTCGGGGCGGTGATGGAGGTGAGGTGGAGACTATGTTGGAGAACAGTTGCAGAACTACGGTTAGCTTGATCCCGGTAGAGTGTACGTAGGCAGTCGCGGTATAATGACGTAGCTGGTTTGGCCTGGTTTCTTGGCCTGGATCTCTCTGGTGGAGTTCGTAGGGTTCTTCTGGTGTGTTCGTCCAAAATTTGAGGTTTATCAAATGATGTACGAGGTGGAGAATTGTGATCGTGGGGGACAGGGGGTCCCACCCACGCCGCTTGCCCTTGTGTGCGGCCACGACGAGCATGAGGCTCGAGTTCGCGCGCCGTTCTACTAGCCCTCAACACTGACGTGGACTGCTCGATTTCACGCCGCCTGCTCTCGTGTCGTGCGCCCGTCCCCGCTCCCGTTCGCGCCGCTTGTGCCCATGACGAGCGCAACTGTAGCCTGACAACAACTCGGGTTTCGTGCGCGGAGGGGGAGGCTTGTGATCATGAGCGTGGGAGTTTTCCCGCGCGAGTTCACTTTCCCGTTTCATGTGCCCGCCAGCCATTCGGATTTTCTCCTATAAAGTTCACGCGAGAACTTTGTTGTTCGTTCCCTATAAATACCTGATGACCTAGGGTTTTTTTTAGTTGTGTGGGGAAATTAGTGAGAAAAATCTTAAGTGGATTTTTGAGAGAAAAGAAAGAGAGGAAGAGAGAACTTGTATAAGTTTGGTATTTTTCCTCCATAGTGAAACCCCCTCCCGTGGACGTAGGCTAGTTTGTCGAACCACGTAAAATCCCGTGTTTGTATTTGTCTTATCTGTGAGTTGCCATAACTTGTAGGTTCCCTCGATATTTCAGTCCTTGAACTGATGAGAGGAAGAGTGTATATTTCACTTTGATGAAATATATCACTTTCGATTCTTGTTTCCTTTGAGAAATAAGAATTTCATTATCTATTCTCGTTTCCTTTGAGAAACAAGAATATAGAGGTTGACTTGTGCTTTTGTGATAACGAAAGCCAGGGCTCTCTCTCAGGTGATATCGCTTCCGCGGCGGTGGGCGTGACTCCGCCCCAACATTAAAGCAGTCAGGGGTCCGCCTCACCCGAAGCAAATCCAGCAGCTTCAAGGATATCAGCTTCAGTAACGGCGTCCTGAGGCTCCCGTTCCTGGAGTTCATGGACAGCACCGAAAGCAGTTGGATTTTGACTGGAGTTTAATATTCATGATTTATGCAATGATTTATACTTTTTGAGATTTAGAGCAGTTGGATTTTGACTGGAGTTTAATATTCATGATTTATGCAATGATTTATACTTTTTGAGATTTAGAGTTCATGTAATATTGCATTCGCAACATTTCTTGTTATAAAACTTGAGGTGATACATACGTGCATATATACATAGATTTACTTATGGCCAGATATATGACATATCCATACCTGAGGTACATAAGATTTTGATATCAACGTTTTGCATTGTCTGCCTATGTTCCATCTCCCATGTCCATATCATGGGTGAGTTATTAGATAATTTACATCAGGTTAGTTATAAGTTGAATTAATCCTCATGTTTTTCAGAAAGTTTGACCACACCGTCCGAACAGAAACGGAAGATCAAAATGTTGAATTAATCCTCATGTTTTTCAGAAAGTTTGACCACACCGTCCGAACAGAAACGGAAGATCAAAATTTTGTTGCAATCAGTCTGCCTAAAATCAAAAGAATAAGGTTTTCTACTTATAGAATGTACTCTTGCGCCCTGTTTTGTACGTGGGAATCAAGTCAATGAGAATGAAATGAAGTGAAGAATGGAATGGAATGCTCATTTTCATTCTCTTTGGTTGTGATTAAAGAATGAATAGGGAATGACAATCTTTTTTTCTTTGGTATTTGGGTAATCTATAATTAATCATGTTATGTTTGGTACTTATTATAAGTTTTTTGATTCCCACTTAAGTGGGAGTTCTCGTTCCTTACTATCTCATTGGGAATGCATGTTCCCACATAAAGTGAGAATTGATGAGATGTGAGAATGAGATTTCTAGCTTTCAAAGACGTGCCGTGTTTGATACGAACAAATGAGATGTGAGAATGAGATTTCTAGACTTAGCATTCCATTCTCATTCATTCCCACATACCAAACGAAGCGTTAGAGAAGATAGTCATATTTTAATTTGACCATGTTATGTAGGTTGAAGGGAAAAATGAATTATTCAAGGATTTTTATAACTATGCTTGTAATAAGGATTATGGCGAAGCAGCATTCCATGCTGTTAGGAATTTAACCGCCTAAATCCCTTATTTTTATTCTTGAAATGCTCTGTGTAGGCTCTGAAGTTGGTTATCTTTCGAAGCAGCATTCCATGCTACTGCTTCTCATTTATGTTGCATCATTTGTGTGTATTTTTATTCTTGAAATGCTCTGTGTAGGCTCTGAAGTTGGTTACCTTTCGAACCTCTTATCTTACTCGCACCGGCATTTTCTATTCTTACCTACCTAATTTTACAAAACTTTTAATTTTCGTTTTTACTGATGTTCAAAGTCAAGAGTGAAAAGTTGTTTTCTTTCCTCTTCCTTTTTTGTGGTGGCGGTGGGTGCTGAATATTTTTTATTAATTTACATGTTGTAGTTTATGGTATTAATATCGTTAGTCAGAGGATATAAGAGATGTTTGATATGTTGAAGTCCATGCAATGAATTCTTGGAGAGCACTTCGCTAAGTATGATTAGTAAGCTTCCTTTTTGATGATATTCAAAGAATGTATTTGATCATGCTTTTCTATCAAGTATCCTCGTTGAATTTTTTATGTTGTCAATTGAGTCAATGATTATGGGTTGGGTTGTGGAATTTCAAGAGTCTGAAAGCTGAAGTTCAGCAAAAACATCTTAAATTAGAGTTTGAAAGTTGTGGCTTGTGGGTACTAGGGCCTCATATATTTCTTTTTCCCCCTCTTCTCCTTTCCCTTTTACTGTTTCTGCATTATTCCTGAGTCTGGACAATAAAAAATGCACTTGAAATCCTTCCTATATCCACCAAAACAGGACAATTTTTGTTTCGATAGTATACTAAGAACGTCTCTTTTTTCTCGGAGGGTCATAAGTGTGTAGGGTTCTGGGATTGCAAGCTAGAAAATGCTATAGTTATTATTGAACATCTAGAAGTCACCAAGGTATTCCAACTATTTGAAAAGTAGGTTGGCAACATCATTTTTCTCTAAATCTGTTGACAATGTTCTGATCAGCAGTGTATTCAATTGCTAGGAAGACTCTGACTTAATTTCCAATGCTTCCGCGGAGTCAGAGTTGTAGGATCCTGTAAGAAAGCAACAGTAGTTCTGGTACCTTCAAGGTTCCTATAAATATTGGCGATGAAATGACTGGGATTAGTTGTCCATCTCCCTCTGGAGTAATTAGTGCACACTTTTAAAGGACTTATATGTGCACACCCAAATAATGTTGGTTTGGAGGAGCATTGCTCAAAACCTTCTGAACTAGCGATTGTGTCCCAGCTCTAAATGATCATACACTGAAATTAGGCTACATTTGCAACCAAGTTAGCTGGTGTTGCATTTCGAAGGGGTCATTGAAATCAGATGTGCTAAACATATATATGGCAGTATTTTGCATTAAGTTTGCTGCTGGGATGTTTTCTATAGTCGTATATTTGCTGAGATGAGGAGACATAAAGTACACTGTGTTATTGCTAATGATTCTTTGTCATATCAGGTCTTGCAAATTTCTTAGATTGTTGTTGTTGGGAAACTATTAATTCTTTAGATTCTGCAGCTTTCCGTGGACATTTTTCTATAAACCAGTAATTCTTATTTTCTGTCAGCTGACATGCCATGCCTTTTCTCCTTCATGCAGCTTAGGAATCTAGTCTGGGCAACATCAAAGCATGATGTTTACCTTATGTCACACTATTATGTTATACATTGGTCTGCTTTGACCTGTGAGAAAACTAAAGTTCTGGACGTTTCAGGGCATGTGGCACCATGTGAGGTGAATGTTTCTTTTGTTGAATAATACATATTCTGGAATTCCTTTTCTATTACCTTGGAAAAGACATGCTTTGTTTAATCATTTTTTATAGCAGAATGTATTTAATTAATCTCACACTGCATATTTGTTTGGTACAGAAACATCCAGGTAGTCTATTGGAAGGATTTTCACAGACACAAGTCAGTACACTGGCAGTTAAGGATAAGTTGCTTGTCGCTGGTGGATTTCAGGGAGAACTTATATGCAAGGTTTGGTTCTTCCTTTAACCAGATTCCCTTTCATATTTTTGCACACAATCTGATGACCAACCAATCATGCGCCTTCGTAAAGTTGCTTTTCTAAGAAGGGTGTTAACCTAGATCATCTGAATTAGGAAATAAGAAATCTTCAGATTCTTCTTATATCTTAGGTTGTGGCTATGTGGCATGACCATGTTACACAAGTAAGCCATCTCCTGAAATGACAAACAGACCATCTAGCATGTATTAATTTCATTGAAAATTGATAGAAAGCCCGTAAAGAATATAATGTTGGCGCCTCTTTATCCTTGAGAAAGATATCAGCAAGTTTTACTGTTTGCTTGTAGGACCTAACATGTTACATTTTATCTCCATTGAACTCGAAGTTGCCAAAAGATTTGCATGCTGGGACATTTTTTTGTAGAATGATAAATGTGACCTAGAAGGTGGATGATTCTATTTTATTTCTTATAATGATGTTTTGGGAAATTGCAGTATTTGGATCGACCTGGAATTAGCTTTTGTTGCCGGACAACTTATGATGACAATGCAATTACTAATGCGGTGGAAATTTACAACAGCTCCAGGTACATGGTTTTTATGCTTATTCTGTCAGTTACTATACTCTGAAATTCTGCTTTGCTAATTTTGTTTTGTCATCTATTCAGTGGGGCTCTGCACTTTATGGCATCAAATAATGATTGCGGAGTCAGAGACTTTGATGTGGAAAAGTTTCAGATATCTAAGCATTTTCGGTACCAATGGCCAGTGAATGTAAGACATCAGTTTTCAGTTACATGTTCTTTATGCTTTTATAAGGCTGAATTTTTACGTAATCCATGTCCTGGTCTTGCAAATGCTTATTACTAAAAAATAGTAATACCACTAACAATATGAGGGGTTAATTGCGTATATACCCCCTGTATTATGGGCATGTGCCACTTATTATCCTTGAATTTCAAAATAGGCATGCGCATTCACCCTTGAGTGAACTGTTGGAATCATGACATACAACTTAGCGGAAAAAGCATATCATGACTATTAATCAAAATTAATTGAATATTAGAAGAATACCTGAAACGCTTTCCGAATTTCTACAATAATCTGTCCCGAGATCAATCCGAAATAGCTTCCTCAAGAGAAAAAGCCTCCAATTGAAATCCACCCGTCACCGTAGAGGAGCAATACTGAGAGATAGGTTCTCAAAAATCTATTTCTTCATATTATCTTCATAAGATTTTCAATCTCATCTATCTCCTCTCATAAGGCTACATATGAACCCTATTTATAGGATTACACTAGTCTTAGAGATTTTAACTTTAAACAATTCATAATTATCTAGAACTCTATCCATAACAATTAAGGATAGAATAGATTTGTTCAAAAACTTTATCCATAACAATTAAGGATAGAAATAGATTTATTCAAAAACTTTATCCATAACAATTAAGGATAGAAATAGATTTATTCAAAAACTTTATCCATAACAATTAAGGATAGAAATAGAATTGCATTGCATGTATACCTCTTCTAATGACATTAGTGAGACCAATTGGGTCCCATATCGAGAACCAATTATTAATCAAATTAATAATTTTAATTTAACAATCAAATCCCTATCCGACCAATTGTTCATAAAAGCTCTTCCATAATATGGGATTAATTATTAATAAATAATATCTTACATTCAATCCCTTCCAGTATCATTTATTCTAGGCAACTCTTTTAAGTAGGACAACTCACCTATTTGCTCATGTCTAAATTTGCAATTCCCATGAACATAAATAAAAATTATTTTGAAACATCAAAATATTTTATTTTTTATAAGAAAATAAAATTTGTAAAAATATTTTCAAAGCTACCTGCCGGCAGGAATTTAATAGCTTCATGGGAATGCATAATAAATTAACTCATCATAATGAGCATACTGGATCCTATCTAGACATCCATCATTTTCCTAAATGAAATTTAGCAACCCAATGTTTCAGGTTGTGTAGCGCTTGCTAAACAAGCTTAACCATCACATCAAAGCATACTAAATTATCAAATCGAAAATGATAATATCATCAAGTCAAAGGGACCATGTAACAATTTGAACTCTCTATCTCTTAGGTGACTCATCCTAGAGAATTCAAATACGGTCTAGTGCTACACACATCATAATGCGTGCTTATGACATACACCCGGAGAATCTCCATTCTCGATGGTTGAGACCCACCACCATATCTCATATATCGGTGTCATGCATAATAACCTGTTATAACAAAGTTATCCTTTACTAGTTATAGGTTAAGCACAAATTTAAGAAATTTCTAAGTTAGATCATATCTCCAAGCAAGTGACCATCACAATGCATGATCTAACAAAATAACTTCTAAGGATATATATAACAATTATATAAATAATACCCAAATTATGTGCAACAATTAAATTTATTAACATTACAATATTATTACATAATTTGTATTGGATGTTCAAGGGCAAATTATTAATTACTATTCCAGCAATCTCCCACTTGCCCTAACATCCAATCAGATATAATCCTTACTCCCATCTGTCAAAAACATTTTAAGACAATGGTCTATAAAAGGACATTAAATGTTATCTGCTCAGCCATCTATTAAACCATAACATATTTCTTCTTATTAACCTTTAATAAGATAATTTTTCTTTCTAAGCTTCTTGCAACAGCTCCATTACTATCAAATAATAATGAGAAAGAAAATTATTACAAGAAATAATATTAAGCTTATGGAATAACTCATTAATCCATATTCCTTCTTTTAATGATTTAACATGGCACTACATATTCTGCTATTATTATTAATGATATAAATATAACCCGAAACAGACTTTCTATTATTATGATTGGATTGAAAACTACTTACAAGATCAATAACCTTTTTGGGACACATTTCCTTAAAGAGAGATTGTTTATGTCTTATAGGAACCTTTCCTTTCTTGGAATCTTATTAAGTTGAATCTTTTATGGATCTTATCCATATAAGTAGATTGTGACAACTCTATATATCTATTTCTCTATCTATATAGAGTTTAAGATCTACGATATAGAATGTCAAAAGAAAATCCTTCATAAAGAACTAAATCTTACTTTTACTCATGACATTAAAAAATATCATTCTTAATGAGCAATATGTCATCAACATGCAATGATAGGAATATAATGGACTTACTTTATTGTTCCTTATACACACATTATTTCTTTTTAAGGATATGATTAAAATCAATTTCCTTAAACATTTCATCAAAATGAATGTTTGATTGATTAAGTTCATAACTTTAATTGATTCAATTAATCAATTTTATCTTCTTGAATTTTACATACTTGATTCTATAATATGTAAATATCTTCTTAAAGATATCCATTCAAGAAGGTTATTTTAAAATCCATTTATTGATATCTTATATTCATAACACGTTGAAATGACTAAATGGATCCTTATGAACTATAATATTACAATTAGAGGAAAAGATTCTTCAATAATTAATACCCGTTTGTCATCAAATATGATATCAGGTCTCTTACATGAAATCATGTCCAACATGACTTTTGTGTAAGTTTTAGGATTTTTATTCTCCTTGTTACTTTTCATCAAATATATTTTAACAAGGCTACTGTACTATACAGGTGGATGAAAATCCTGTTTGATCTCCTAATTGTAATCAGTGTATTCAACAATAAATTTAGTAAGTAAATCTACATTTACTTTATTACTTAAAGCTCCCACTAAATTTATACAATCTTCAACTCATTTGAAGTTTCTCCCACTGGATTAAATAACTCTCCCACTAAAGAAAACAAATTTTCTTCTTGAGTTATATAAATCCTAATTATCAAGCTTGACTTTATAAAAGAACATATTTCTAGTAATAATTATTGTCTGAAAACTACACTAGGATTATCAATATAATACCTAGTACTTTCTTTAGGATAACCTACTAGTAGGATGTTATTTACCTTAGACTCCCATTTTGTCCATATATTATTCTCTGATGAGAATATGACAACTCCAGATCTCCAAGCGTCATACACTTAATTTTCTTCATATCCATGTCTAATATGGAGTGAAAGAAAAAGATTTGGCAGGAATTCTACATAATAAATAATATGCAATCTCCAATGCATAACCTATTAGAAAATAAGAACAGGTTAATGCCCAGCATAAACCTAACCATATCGAATAAGGTTTAGTTCCATCTTTCAGACAAATAATTAGGAGTGATAAATTAGTAGATGTCAAAGTACTAACAATTCCATTTTGTTCATAAATCTCTTAAATTCCTAAAATTAGGAACTTGCCATCTGGATCAAATCAGATGATTTTGATACTTTTATCAAACTCCTCTTTAACTTCAATAACATTCTAATTTATGATGCAATCACATAAATATTTAACTATTGCTTTAACATTTAAAGGATCATATACATCTGAATGTATGAAGTCAAGAGTACGCAAGAGCTTTAGCACTATTTTAGAAAAATAGTTTGGTCATATGTCTCTTAGAAAATATTTACAAGTTGAGAAATATTCTAATTTAGAAAAATCAAAGGACTATCCTTTATCAATTTATTGATCTTATCAACATTAACATGACCTTGTATTTTTGTGCCAAAGATAAGTTGGATTACCTTGATCCAATCTATATTTTAAGAGATTTATCAATTCCAATAACATTACATTACATAAGAGTTAAGGGTGGCAATCATGAAAATAAACAGTTTTAATTTCATAATTATCAACAAAGCAATTTCTAAACTTTTAATAGAAATTCTATTTTACAAGAAAATAGAAAATCACTACAAAAAATTTACAAAATAGAAATCAAATTTCTTCTAACTTTAAGAAACATTAAGACAATCTTTAAATTTTATTTCATGCCCTTCATTCAAAACAGAAACAAATTTCTTATTATTATTATTTTTATTTACAATGCTGAAACTAGAGCTTTTATTTTCATTGTCAAAGTTAAGCTTTTCATGTACTCTTACAACAAATTTGTAAGTATGTAAAGATAAACTAGAATGAATACATCATATATAAAAATCATTCACATTAGTAGACTCTACTAATCAATGGGTGAACTGTCTTCAAAAGACATTTCTTTATTAAGTGACATAATGTAACATTTACAATTTTCTTTTCTAATGACTTTCATTATTTAAATTTCCGCTTCATGTTTAGAAATCTATTTTACTTTTTAGATTTCCCTCTTAAGAAAATTTTCTTTTCTTAATACTGGACAATCCAGTTCGATATCCATCATTATGGATTTAACCTGCTTAATAATATTCTTTTCACTTTTTCTTTAACAAGTTGTTCAATTCTAATACAATGGTAGTTAAATTAAACAAGGAGTGAGATTAGGAAGTAAATATCACATCAACGTTTGATTTCGATCTTAACTTCCAACAAATCTAATTTGTCAATATATATCAAAACATCATATGAAAATATATATCTGTTTTCATCTTATGAACATTACTTTTATCATTATTATCTTTAAGCAGGATTATGATTGATGATCTTTATCATCAGTTACATCTGGTTAAGCGGGTATGTCACCTTAGACAATCATAGGCCAAACATTCAGCATTTGAAAATTAAATAGATTTCTTTTCCAATCCAACAGTTCGGGCTATCTAATTTATAATCATTCAATAACATATCAAAATGACAAAATTTAGTCATCATGTACAAGCAGAATATAATAACACAAATATTGTAAGTTATTATTTTATTATTGCACAATCATTACAGGGATATTTTAAGTAATGATTTCACATTTAACATTTCTCTCATTTATTTAAATGTGAACAGGAAATCCAAGTTTAATTATAAACCTCCAGATTTTCAAGATCGAATATAATTAAACAAGGTAGAATCATCTATTCAATCATTAACAATTAACGATTTTCCTTTAAATTTTGGTCTTTGATGTAAGATGTG